TAATGGACAAAAACTACATGATGTCACATATGCTGAAAAGGCATGTGATAAAACCAGCAGCAAATCTTAAAAACCCTAATTAGGAATAGAAAGACAAAATAAAGACCATAAGTCAAGAACAAATATCCTAAACAGTAAAACTCTAAAACAATTTCATCAATTAGACAAATTTGTCAACAATCACTATTATTATTTAATATTCTCTTGGAAGTGCTAGCAAGTTCAATATGACAAAAATTACTGATATGAACAGGAGAAAGGAAGAGATCAGCTATTTTTGTTGAGACAACTGCATATCTCAAAAAACTTAAGAATCTCTAGTAAAATGCCTACTAAAATTAAAAGATAATTTGGCTTTTTTTTCTATATTAGCAGTAAGTTTTTAGATATGGAAAAAGGAAAATATTCTACTTACAATAGTGACAAGAATTATAAAATGCTTGAGAATAAATTTAAAAAGAAAGGCACAGAATTTATACAAAGACGATTGTAAGGTCTTATGGAAGAGCATAAAATAAGAGATGAAGAAATGGAAAGCCATGCCATATTCTTGGATGGCAAATTTTACTATTATAAAAATGCCAGTTCTTTCAAAGATAATATATAAACTTAATTCAATTCCAAATAGAATCCAACAGGAAATTATCGGGAGAAACTGGATTAATTGAGCTTAATATTTATATAAAAATTTAAATCGGATTCCTGTTTTATATCACACGCAAAAGTGTAATTCAAATGGATTAAAGACTTAGATGAAGAATATAAAAATCTTTGAATAAACTATATGTATTGTCTAGAAGTTGGAAGAACCATGTTACACAAGGAAATTCAGATGCTATAAACAAAAGGATGTACATGTTTGACAAATAAGTTTAAAATTTTTTGTATGATAAAAAGATATCATAAATAAAATTAGAAACAGCAAATTTAGAAAAATGCTGTTATAAATTGACAAGAAAAAGATTGCCCAAAGGAAATGAGTTTGAGCTTTGCTCGAGAAAAACGAGCAAAGAATATAACTAATTTATAGTACATTGTCAATAAATACACAAAACTATGCTCACTGTAGTCAGGGAAATGCAAATTACACTACTATTGAGATATCACTTTACACCCATCAGACCGACAAAAATATAAAATAGCAATAACACCTATTATTGCCACTAAGGATGAAAGAAAAGGGTACTCTCATACAGAGACGGCAGAAATATGATTCAACAAATATTTTAAAATTAAAACGTATTCTTTGAATCGGCAATTCCATTCTCAGAAAGCTATTCCAAGATGTATGTACAAGGATGATTTTGACAGTATTGTGTATCTGTGTAAAAATCTAGAAAGTTATTAATTATGAATGAATTACAGTTGACCCTTGAACAACAGGGGTTTGAACTGTGTGGGCCCACTATACATGGATTTTTTTCACTAAATACGTACCACAGTACTACAAGACCCACAGTTGGTTGAATCCTCAGATATGGAGAAGGGCTGACTATAAAGTTATGTACAGGCTTTTGACTGCATGGAGTCAGCACCCTTGACCCCTGCGTTATTCAAGGGTCAACCATAATTCTGAAAAAATAGCTGAATAACTTTTGATACATTCACATCATGGGATATTATTAAGCTACTCTATACAATCAAATAAGACCTAAACTTGTTGACATAGGATCTGCAAAGGATACAAGACACAGAGAAGTGTGTAAAATCTAAACCATTTTTTAAAAAAAATTAAAACCTCTAAATAGGTATATGACTACACACACACACAAACATATATGATAAAACACAAAATGATACATACTGAATAGTTAACGTGCTATCTGGTGGATGGGTTATGAGGTGGCTAGAGAAATGGAGGAAAGGGGAAGGGGAGAAGCAAGAGAAAAAGAGAGACTGCACTAAAATCACTAGTGTGTAAGTTACTCTTCAATTCATTAAAATTTGTATATACCTTACATGACTATATATACATTTATTTTTTCTAAGAAATTAAGAAAAATAAAAAGGTGTTTCTCTACTGACTTGTAGAGATGTCCGTGATACATAGTCAAAAGGCAGTTTAGAATAATGTATATATTACACATGTATTTCTGTAAAACAACACTCAGCTCATCCCTCCTAAGTGTGTACACCAGCAAGGAAAAAGTTAAAGAATGCTACACACTAGCTGGTTAGCACTGAATATCTCTGGAGTCCAAACTGGGATTGGGGATAGGAGCAGAGATAATTAGCTTCTTCTTTACACATCTTCACGTGTTTTATTTCTTGAAAAAATGAAAACCAATAAATGAACAAAGCCAAATGCCTACAGGAGCCAGAGTGAAGCAGGCTTAGTGGGGGCTGTGACGAACTGTGAATACACAGCTTTTTTAGTTTTAGTTGTGAATACACAACTAAAAACATCCAGATTGGGGGCTTCCCTGGTGGCGCAGTGGTTGAGAGTCCACCTGCCGATGCAGCGGACACGGGTTCGTGCCCCAGTCCGGGAAGATCCCACATGCCTCAGAGCGGCTGGGCCCGTGAGCCATGGCCGCTGAGCCTGCGCGTCCGGAGCCTGTGCTCCGCAACGGGAGAGGCCACAACAGTGAGAGGCCCGTGTACCGCAAAAAAAAAAAAAAAATCCAGATTGAAATGTAAAAAATTAACATAAAAACCATATATTTGAGAGAGAGAAAGACATAGATGAGGGCAGGATCCTAAATAACGTTTTCGTGTGTCCAGTTTAGAAAAAAAAGTCCTTGTGTTAAACAGATTTTCTGTAACAGACAGGGAAATCACACATACTTTACTTTTTATCCATTTATACTCCAATCACAGGATCCATAACAAGGCCCAAAGAAGAATGCAGAATGCTTCTATTCTTTGATGCTAGAATACAGGCTATTAGGAGAACAAGGACATACTATCACAGAAATATAGTATCATCATAGGCAGAACACGCTTTGACATAAATTGTAGCAATATTTTTTTGGATCTGTCTCCTAAAGCAAAGGAAATAAAAGCAGAAAAACCACAAATGAGACCTAATTAAACTTAAAAGCTTTTGCATAACAAAGGAAACCATCAACAAAATGAGAAGACAACCTACTGAATGGGAGAAAATATTTGCAAATGATATGACCAATAAGGGTTAATATCAAAAACAGCTCATACACTCAACATCAAAAAAACAAACAACCCGATTAAAAACTAGGCAGAAGAACTGAATAGACATTTTTCCAACGAGGACATTCAGATGGCCAACAGGCACATGAAAAAATGCTCAACATTCTTAATCATCAGAGAAATGCAAATTAAAACCACAATGAGATATCACCTCACACCTGTTGGAATGGCTCTCATCAAAAAGAACACAAATAACAAATGTTGGTGAGAATGTGGAGAAAAGGGAACTGTCACACACTGTTGATGGGAATGTAAATTGGTGCAGTCACTGTGGAAAACAGTACGGAGGTTTTTCAGAAAACTAAAAATAGAAATACCATATGACCCAGCAATTTCATTCACGGGTATGTATCTGAGAAAAACAAAAAACACTGATTCAAAAAGATATAGGCACCCCAATGTTCACAGCAGCATTATTTACAATTGCCAAGATACAGAAGCAACCTAAGTGTCCACCAACAGATGAATGGATAAAGATGATGTGGTACACACACACACACACACACACACACACACACACAATGGAATACTACTCAGCCATAAAAAAGAATGAAATTTTGCCATGTGCAACAACATGGATGGACTTGGAGGGTATTATGCTAAGTGAAATAAGTCAGAGAAAGACAAATACTGTATGATATCACTTATATGTATAATCTAAAAAATACAACAAACTGGTGAACATAACAAAAAAGAAAGAGATTCACAGATATAGAGATAGGGGTAGGGGATTAAGAGGTACAAACTATCATGTATAAAATAAACTATGAGGATGTATTGTATAACACAGGGAATACAGCCAATATTTTACAACTATAAATAGTGTATAACCTTTAAAATTGTGAGTCACTATGTAGTATACCTGTAACTTATATAATATTGTAAATCAACTATACTTCAATTAAAAAAGCAAAAATAAAATACTGACAAAAAAAGAAATACAGTATCCTGGCTTAAGAAAGGACTTTGGAAAATGCCCGATCCAACTTCCTCACTTTACAGCCGAGGAATGTGAGGCCAGGTTAAGCGACTGCCGTACTCGATTCCCTCCATTCCTTGCATGGCAGAAAATTATTTTATCTCAGAATTTTCACTCAGAGCAAATAAATGGTAGACAAGTAACAATGGTATTTCATTAGTTCAATAAATAAAAGTTCTTCTATTTTACATGTAAAAAACCAACCCTCAACTGTTATATTAAACATTTGAAATGAAAGGCACAGAACCTGTTTAAGTTGCCTCGTGTAAACCTGTAAAGACACTGCTTGAAACCACACGGTCAGTCCTCAATCATTCACTGATCCATCCTTTTTATTCAACCAGCATTCACTGAACACTGTCTATACTCCTGACGCTGGGAGGTACTCTTGATACACACATTAGTGAGGCACAGTCTTTGTTCACCATCCAGTGGGGAAGTGATAAGCTATGAAACAAGTTGGACCCAAAATACAAACCAAGTGTAGATGGAATGATTTATTCTGACTGGAGTTTCAGGAGCAGCTTCATCAAGGGGAAAGTTGACACATGAGTCAGGCCATGTAGGATGTAGGATTCCAGAGGCAACAGCAAGAGCAAAAGCAAGGAAGTAGTGTGTTTGAGGAAATGATCAGAATTGAGCCCAACGCAAGAAAAGAACAAGGGAGAAAACTAGAAATTCACAAGTTCTAGCCTGAGGATAAAAGTAAATTCAATCTAAGTGTAAGATAATTTGCCACCCCATCTCCTGCATGCCTGACATGTGGGAAGCATTCAGTAAAGAATGTCTGGGTAAATCCTGACCAACTAAGTAATCTCTCTGTTCAAGTTACTGAATGATTTCAGCATATTACCATGTACCGTCCAGGGTCTAAATCTCCCATCATGCCTTTCAAGTGTGTGTTTTCAGTTCTGACAGCTTTATCTCTCTTATCTGAGACCTGAAAGGAGATTAGTAGTTAAAAGTGAATGTAAAATTCATAATAAAGGTTCACAATTCTATGAAAATTAATTTTATTTTGTTAATGTAAATATTTTCAAAGTGTAGTGAAGGGAAACACTTCTTAGGCAGGATCATCATAAATCAGGTATTTTCATTCAGTTCTCAGATCTTTAGCAGGCCCCATTTTACCCTCCTTTTCTGATTGGTGCTAAATTAAAAATAGATACTTACAATAATGATTCATTATACTTTTCTATTCCAAAATTCCATTTCTCACTTCTATTTTTTTATGGTATGCAAATTACCATCAGAAAAATTGCAGTTTTAAAAACATGCTTGAATAATAGTGTCCGTTAAATTTGTTCATGACCTGATTAATTTTTATAATATGCAAATATGATTTCATGTTTAATTTTGTTCTTCTTGATACTTCTGCCAAATTTCCTTCTTTTTTGTGACAACTTCATTTTGTCTCCTCATTTATTTTTTTCCCTAATTTCTTCTACTTAAGAGCACTTAGACATAGCATTTGCCCTTTTATTTATCTAGGGCTCATTTCCATATAAAACACTTCCCTTAAAAAGGTTTACTTTTGTAAATTACAAAATATATTCTCCTTGACAAAAATCTAAAAATATAGAAGAATATAAAGGTGAAAATAAAAATCATTCATGATCCAACTACCCAGATCACTGTTAACACCTGTAAAAATATCATTTCCTTTACAGGTGCAACCAATGCTATTGTCCTATCTATGCTGTTTTCCTGTAATATTATACAAATTAATCACAGTTTAAAGCTTATAATTGGGCAAAGGCAGAATCTTTTCTTGTTTTTACAATACTCAGGATTGAAATAGCCCTGTTATTTATGAAGTAACCCTCATATGCCTAGAAAATTATTGAATGGTGCTCTCAAAAACCCTATTTGGTGGTGAGATGAATTGGGAGATTGGGATTGACATATATACACTGATATGTATAAAATAGCTAACAAATAAGAACTTGCTGTATAAAAATGAATAAATAAAATAAAATTTAAAAATCCCTCTATATTTGGGGTAAAAACACTGAGAAACCCTATACTTTCAGTAGCAGGCCACCAATTTGATGATGAGTATGGGACTGAGGGAATTTCAAAATGAATAGGAGGGGAGGGAGGGAGGGAAGACTTAGAAGTCACTTGCAGTATTTTAACAGTAGAACGTTACAATGGCTGTTTTTCCCCATGAGCCACGCTATGCATTGAGTGAATGTTCAGTAAATATGAACTAATCTTTGTGTTTCATGTCCATTTTTTAAAACTCTAAAATAAAGGTATGAAATGTCCAAGAAAAACTGGAGTAGAAGCTTTTTTTAAGATACAAATGTTAATAGAAGAGAACTATGGAAAACAAATACAGGAAGAAATCTTTGGCCAGAGCATGCTGTGGGAGGTGATCAGAATATGGGTCACTAGAAAATGTTAGCATGAGATTTAAAGAAATTTTCTTGTGCTGTCACTTGTTTCCCTGGTTCTTGTCTGATGACACTTTGCATTATCTCACCAAGGTTTTATGTGACTCCACAAAGCATTTCTGTGCTGTTAGTCTCAGAAACAATACAAGAAATACAACCCTTTTATTAATCAATAAGGAAGGCGACTATCTGCACTGAGCAAGAGTGACCTGGACAGGTGCTTCCTGCCGCTTGCATACCTGTTGTTTCACCAACATTTTCTCTTTTATTTCTAACTCCATTTTTAACTGTCTTTCCAGAAATGCAGCTTTCTTCATGATAGTTGCTATAGTGATTTCCTTCTGATGAGGCTCCTCTGTTAGGTCAGAGATTTCATTCCTCATTCTTTCCTGCTCAGAGCTATGGTACTCTTCCTCCTGATAGAGTTGGCTTCTTATCTGCAGCAGACACTTTCCAGAAAATAGTAACAAATCCTTTATACAGCAGCTGAAAGGTTTTATTGGCCATGTTCGGTCTTCCCATCCTATCTTAAAACTTTGCCAGACCTCACTTTACCCTCCTTTTCTGATCAATGCTAAATGAAAAAGAAACTTACAATAATGATTCATTTACTTTTTCCTTCCAATTTCAAAAATTTTTTTTCACTTCTATTTTCTATTGTATGTAAGTCCTCGCCAACTACTGATACCACTTTAATGACGACTTTGACAGGAAGGTGGGGAAAGTATTATCAAGCACTTTCCCCCCGGCTTCACTGAGGTATAATTGCTATACAAAAACTGTACATAGTTTGTGGATAAAATTTGGTGAGTTTGGACACACACTTGTGTTACTATCACCATAATCAAGAAAATAAACATGACCATTACCCCTAAAAGTTTCTTTGTGTCCCTTTGTTGTTTTAATTTTGTGTACGTGTGGTAAGAATACTTAACTCAAGCTCTACCTTCTTAACAAAGTTTTAAGTGCACAATACCTTATTGTTTACTGTTGCACTGTGTTGTACAGCAGGCTGTGGAACTCACTCATCTCGTGTAACTTACTTGATACCCATTAAGCCACCACTCCGGACTTGGTGCCATGGAAGAGCTCTGGACCCACAGCGCAGAGGCTGATGAGCCATTTTTTAGGGAGAAAAAAATTGGCTAAGAGAGGTTAAGTGACCCGCTCAAATTCATAAAACTATTAACTGGCAGAGCTGGGTCTAGAACTTAGGACTGTTGGATCTAAATTCAGTGCTTTTTGGGACTAAATCATGCTGTACTATTTGCGACTGAACACTATGTTTTTTAGAATCTTGCTACAATAAATTTCAAACTTAAAGTGTCCATCAAAAAGCAACACCTACATTTCTTAAGCCGGTGGAGTCTCATATTCTTAACTTTAGCTAAACCTTCCACGGTAGAAACCTCTGGATCACCCTGGACTCCTCCCCTCCCTCATCCTCCCAAATCAAGTCAGGTAGCAAGTTCTGTCCCTTCTGTTTCAACCTCTCTTAAATCTCACCTCTGCTTTCCATTCCTACTGCCACTGTCTTAGTCCAGCCTCCTCCCGTCTTTCTAGAAATCTTTCACTCTCTCTAATTCTTGAGGTTCAGAGATAAAGTATGTAATTACCGGTCTCAAAAAAAAAAATCACAGTCCATCGGGGGAAACAGGAAAATAAACAGTTAGAACACAGTGTAGCAACTGATATCAGCAGTATGTAGTGGAGTAGTGCTTACTCCAGCCTGGGGATGCCAGGATAGGATTCCCAGAGGAAGGGACATCGCACTGAATACTGAAGGATGAATGGAAGCCAGATGGAAGAGAGAGATGGAGGTGAGCTCCCAGGCAACGAATGCAGTGAAGGAGTGGGGTCAGAGGGAGAAGGCATACTCAGTGAACCAAAAGGAGTTTGGAGTGGCTGGGACTTGGCGCGTTGTGAGAAGTAAGGCTGGACAGTTAAGGAGGGGCCATTCACAAAGAGATTTATATGAATTTACCCCTCGGAACTTACTTCAAAAACTTTTTTTTCATTTCATCTTTAAACATCTCAGGATATATCTCTAAAAGAATAGCGGTGTGCTCTCTCTCTTTTCTAACATAACCAGAATACCATTATAATGTCTTAAAAATATTAACAACAATTCCTCAATATCATACAATATCCAGGCACTATCAAATTTAAAATTATATCAGAAGTGTAATGGATGGTTTTCAGGTTTGCTTATTTGAATTGAGATCTAAATATGGTCCACACATTGAGACTGGCACCTATCTTTTTTTTTTTTTTTTTCCGGTACGCGGGCCTCTCACTGTTGTGGCTTCTCCCGTTGCAGAGCACAGGCTCCGGACACGCAGGCTCAGCGGCCATGGCTCAGGGGCCCAGCCGCTCCGCGGCACGTGGGATCTTCCCTGACCGGGGCACGAACCCGTGTCCCCTGCATCGGCAGGCGACCTCTCAACCACTGTGCCACCAGGGAAGCCCCGGCACCTATCTTTTTAAAGCCTCTCTTTGTGCATGCATGTGCGTGTGCACGTGTGTGTGTGTGTGTTCTGAGTACTCTGCATACATCGTCTTATTTAATCACCACAATCTCTATATTCCAGATCAGAAAATTAAGATACATAACTGTTCACAGTCACATTCTTGGTGACAGGCAGTCTGATTCCAGGTCCTTACCCATTGTTCTACGTAACCCCTGTGAGCATAGCCCTAGAACGTGGTTCCCACATTGGAAAAAAGCTAGAGTGGGATGACCTAACATGGAAAGTTCTCAGGTCAGTAAGGCAACCATGGTCCAGCCTCAGGCTTTATACCATCAATTTCTCATCTAAGTCTATTCTTTTTACTAAAATTTTCAGAATTTCAGAGTTGGACATAACCTTAGAAATCACATGGTCTAACTCCATCATTAAAAAAATGGAAAAACAAAGGCTCATAGGGAAAGGAACTGACTGGGTCTAAGTTATCCAGCTCCTAAGAGCAGAAGCGTAGACTAGGAGACTGAAGTACAAATACCCTCACCCCAGGACAATAGTACACATCTCCTTTCGTCTCCCATCTTCTCTCTCCAATTTTTTCTCTTACAATTTATTTGATGAACAATGGGGTTGTTCTATCATTTGCCCCAATTTGGATTTTGCTGATTGCATCCCCATGGTGTAGTTTAACATGTTCTCTTAAAATGGTATTTTTAAAATGTGGGGAAAAAAAGAATATATTATCATGAAGAAGGAGTAAACTATTTTCATTATTTTCACAACATTTAGATATTAAAACATGCTATACTGCAAAATTTCTTTTTAAATGAGATGAATTTACCTAGCTGTAAATGACTTTTGGCTTTATTAAAAATGTCAATTTTATCACAAAATAAGTTACTAAAAATCGTTCTATATTGACAAAAGAGAAAGAAATAAAACACTTGCAAGATTCATAATACATGGCTCTTGTTGGTTTTATTACAAGAGAATGAAAATGCTCTCTACAAACACTTCCCAGAAACTATAGCTATTTATACACAATTCATTTGTTACCTTTTCTGCACAGCAATGCATTATCTAGAGGTCTCCCAGAGTCTGTAAAGAGATTTGTGTCTTGCAGTCTCTCCCTCCACATCAAAACTGTGCAAAATCAGTAGATTCCTTCTAAGTTTTATTACTCTACCTAAATCTATGAGGTTAAGAACGGTGTAACTATACTTTAGGAGGATTTAATCAACCTTTTATCATAATGTATTCACTGGGGACTCCAGTCAAGAACAGTTTTTAAAGTTATATTTTAAAATATCAGTAAAATAAGTTTCATGGGATTATGTGAAAAATATAAGGAAAATGATAATTAATTCATAACACCTTTTCTACACTTAATAGTTGCCTGACAGTCAATTCTTCAGGAGATGGGATTTGCCTTTTACATTATATTTCCTACAGAAATAAGCAGTACAGCAACAGTCCTACTAGATACTCAATAAATGTTTGTTTAATTTATACAAACAACTGAATTTATAACCCTATACAATTATGGGAGTCTTCAGCCTTAATATTAATTAATTTGTTCTCTAAATATTTATTTTCACTCATCGTGTGTCAGGCACTTTGCTGGGCACTGGATGATAATTCAAAGCCACATCCAGTATTTTCCTGCTTTTAAAAATTGTTTAGACTATATAGCATTGAATATTCTGTGTAATCCTTAAACTGAAAGACCAGAGAAGTGGGTAGCAGCCGTGAGAAACTCATGGGAAAGCCACTACTGAATTTGACGAGAGGAAGAAGAGAAGACAGTTTTTGTAGCTGCCTAGCTCCTGGCAGAGTACTTGGCACATGTTAGGTGCTCAATGACAAAATGTGGGTGTCACCAATAACAATAGCAGCCAACATCTATTAGGTGCTTCCTCTGAGCTAGGTAGGCCCCGTTTTAAGCACTTTACTTGCATTATTTTATGGATTTAATGGAAGAGTATGAATTCATACTCTTAAAGGAAGAGTATGAATTCTGGAGCCAGATTGCCTGGATTCAAATCCGGCCACTGCTACTTACTAGTTATATAATATTGGTGGAAATTACTGACCTTCTCTGTGCTTTAGCTTCCTTAAATGTAAAGGAGGATAGTATTAGTACCTACCTTATAAGATGGTTGTGAGGAATACATGAATTAGGATTTGTTAAGCCCTTAGAACAGCTTCTGGCACATGGCAAGAGTTGTTTAAGCTTGTTTAATCCTCATCACAACCTTGTGAGGTAGGGCGAATTATCCCACCCCCATCCTAGGAATGAGAAACATAAGCAGCTCGCATAGGCAGCTTCCCAAAGCTCATGCACCTAGTGTGTGGTTGAGTGCAGGCCTCTGCTCTCACACTTCCTGCGCTCAGCTACCCTGCACCGAGCCACAGGCCCTCTGTGTTTCCTGGGCAGTCTCCCAGCAGCAGAGTGATGACCTAAGGTTTGTCTTTCTTACAGCATCACACAGAAGAGTGTCAGAATTAGCAGCTCGGTAGGTTATTATCTTAGGAGAAAACACAGAAGGAAAAAGAAGGGAGTGAGAGGGAAGATGTTTTACCCCTTTGTATTCAGAGACTTCAGATCTGACTGGAAGAACAAAGCTCGTTATTTGCCATACCTTGTTCAATTCTTTTTCATGATTTGGTTGATCTGGGGTCACTGCAAACAGCTCTTTCCGTTGTTTTTCTGATTCTTTAATAGATGGTGAATAAGATGATTCAAGTCTACAAATTATAATGAGTAAAAATTAAGCTTAACTTGATAAATTGTTACGATTATATTGTTAATTTAGGCCATCATAGGATGCAGAGATAGATTATTAGTCTTCTGGAAACATTTCTAGTTACAGAAATGGCAAGTTCTAAGACATTCAGGTCCCATAAGTATTTGCATATTTAACTGAGTGCAAATAGTCTTAGTGAAAAAAATAAAACCTAGTTATTAATATGGAATTTCAATTATACATTAAAAATTGGCTGAATACTGGATTTGCATATGTAGATAAGATTTTTGGATAAGATGAAAAGACTGTTTGGTATAATAAAATAGCTTGGGAGCCAGTTTAAAAAAGAAAATAAACCTGACCTGCTTCTACATCGTGGAAAGGAGCTATGTCAGGAGATGTCCGAGGGGAGCCGCTACTCTGTAAAAGTGATTCAAAATGATTAAATCTGACAGGCTACCCAGAGAGAGTGCAAATATGTCTATTTTTTGGCTGCTCAATTTATAAAATGGAATAGCAACCATATATGGACACTAGAGAGGAAAGGCAGAAACTAGTATAAAAAGTACCACTTCCATAGGAAGGTTGGAGAACTAGAAACAGGTAATGTTCACTTCCACATCAGGGAGGTTGGTAAAATTAAAAAAACATTAAAACAGAAAAATAAAGATAACCAGGCAAGAAAAGAAACATGCTTTCCACTATTGCTGGACTAACCTGGTAGAGTCTGGGGTTTTGAGGAATGTACCCACCTATAAGTGAGTATAATTTTAGATTTCCAAAGAGCTTTTTAAAAAGTTCCACAAATCAAAAACTTAAGCCACACATTCAAACACAACAAAATCTGAGTAATGATAGAGAAATAACTAATGTAAAGATGGAAAATAAAGGGCTCTTTTAAAAGGTATAAATTAATAGTGGTATCCCTGAGGTACATATGTCTGGACTGGACTGCTTTCTTTCTGATTATCAAATATACATGTTAAGTGTAGAAAACAGTTTATCAGAGTATATACTACGATAAATTGTCATCTAGGAAAAACTGTTGTCAGCATTTTTGTGTATATTAATTGTCTTTTTTGCCTGTGCATATGTGTATAAAAACATACATGTTTCCTGTACAATTAGAATGTACTGAACACATTATTTTTCAGTCCGCTTTTGTTTCCCACTCAGTAATATATTGTGAGTATTTTATCCAATATTCTCCTAAAACATTATTTCAGGATCAATCTTAAATTTCTCTTATTTGCTATGATTTTAAAAAGGTAAAAAATGAAATTTCCTATTTTTTTAATTCTTCCTAAGCAATTCAGGGAGTGGAATGCTGAACTGAATGGTAAAACCTCATAATGACCTCATAAATTTCAGTGAGTGAATGGAACAAACATCAAGCTTTAATGTGGACAGGTTTAAAGAAGAAAACAATAATCATGCTAATATAAAGATATAAAGGAACTATCATTTAGCTTGTAAGAAGGGAATGCAGAAATTATTTTTATAACTCTCAGAACATATCAGCCCAAGGTGTTTCTATAAGTGAGAAAAGAAAAAGCTAACAAAACCTTAGCATTATGGAGAAAGGTTCTGAAAATGAATGAAGACATTATAATGCTACTATTATAAAGCTATTGTGTGTCTACACTCAGTAGCCTTGGCTGCTTCACCTTAATACAGCTGTAAAGACAAAACAGAGTCTAAATAAAAAAAAAAACCCAAAACGATAAAGAGGATAGAATCATGTTCATATGAGAACAAACTAAAAGAATTAGAAACTTTCAGTGGGAAAGATGAAGGCTGAGAAGACTCTGCCCAAAGTCTAAAATACAATGGAAGCTGTGAAAAGTTAAATATCTATCTTTTCATCAAATCTCAGAATACTAGAACTGAAGAATATCCTCCAAATGAGAAAGATGTAGCTTGGAGACCAAAATATATACCAACTTAAATAGAAGATGGCAAGCAGGCATACCAGAAGAGTTGTATTAGCCAAATATGTGAATAACTGCAAGATTTTAGATTAAATCATGTATTGAAGGACAGTTGGCAATGTCTGGAATTCAGCATTGGCCTTGTGAGGAAGTTCCAGAGAAAATACCTACAATGCTCTTCACAAACCAGAGCTAGACATGGGTTGAATGGTTTGCTCTTGTAGGAAACTTCTTACGTTTTTAGGCATATACATTCCTTGCGCGAAGACGTTTCTCACCAACTCACCACACTGGGACAGTGCCTTGCACATAATATATTTCCAATGGATTAATGATCAGTGGTGATGACATACAGCTTATATATCTGAGCACTCTATAATGCTAACTGGCTAACAGGCATTCTACCATCCTTGGTTAGATGCACAGTAGGTCATTTTTACGAATCTTAATTTGCCATTTGTTGTTAAGTGTAGACCTCAAAGAAATGCTAGCAGATCCCACAACTTTGAAGAAATAATTATTGCCTTTAAAACAATGTAATTATCCTCCAATAAAACATCCCTTACCATTTGGCTACTCAGTTTCTAAAATCCTATCATTGGTCTGGCATTCGCCTTCAGATGTATGAAGGATTCAAGTTCTAGTGAGAATCAGAACATCAGTGAATAGTTAGAGCAGTCAAACTGTCTATTCACAAACATAAACATTTAATAATTCTCTGGAGTCCCATTTCCTTTGTGGTTATGTAGTACACAACATCTGTCTGATTTTAAAAAAGAAGTCTGGTCTAACAAAACCCTTAACGGAACTGACACGGTGGTGAGTGTGGAGGCCAAAATAAATACAACATTTATGAGTGAAAAGTTAGTAACAGGTTTAAGGCCAACAAAATAAAAATACTTGAAAAATATGGAATAAATCTTATGTATCAACATTGATAATTAAATACCAGCTCTAAACTATTGTTTTTAAGATATTCTGAAGAAGAAAGTTCTAAGAAAGTCTCTGACTTCATTATGACACATAAATATCCACATATCAGAACATGATATAATTTTCTAGGTGAGTAAAGATACTGATTTTGAAGATAAAATAATCACTAACTTTTTTTTTTGTTTTTGCGGTACGCAGGCCTCTCACTGTTGTGGCCTCTCCCGTTGCGGAGCACAGGCTCCGGATGCACAGGCTCAGCGGCCATGGCTCACGGGCCCAGCCGCTCCGTGGCATGTGGGATCTTCCCGGACCGGGGCACGAACCCGTGTCCCCTGCATCGGCAGGCGGACTCTCAACCACTGCGCCACCAGGGAAGTCCCCACTAACTTTATTTTTAATATCTAATATTACCTAATAATTAACAGCATGTTAATACAAAACTGACTTTTAATTCTAGTTTCAAATATAAAACTCTTAAAAATATTCAAACATGATGTTTTGAATAGTTTTTCTCTGGCTGCTGAATATAAAAATATACCTTTTTTTATTTTCTGGAGCACTTTGGCACTCTCCTAGTTTTAATAATTCTCTGTGCAACTGCAATCGTTCCATTTCTATAATTCTCAAGAGATCATCACGTGATTGTAACTCACTTTTCACCTCTGAGAGTCCTGCTGCCATGGCCTAAATAAAAACATCAAAAAATTTCAATCCTCACATTTGGATACCATGATGTATAATACTTTTAAAAATATTTAACATCTATGAAGCAGCCTAATTTCAAATGAACTGATATATAATCCTTTGCTGGATCTGTCTTACAGAATTTCATTCATTTATTCAACAAATATTTACTGAGCTCTTACTCTATGTTCAGCACTGAGGATACAGTCACAGGATCTGTCCTCATGAGCTTACAGTCTAGTGATAAAGACAAAGATGCATCCAAATATGGCCATACTGTATGAAAGAGGGAAACATAAAAGTATGAATAAAATATCAATGCATAAAATTTGAATTAATGCAAGTAATTCCCAATTTAAATAAGATAATAGCCAAGAAAAATCTAATTTCAAAGCTGGCCAACAAAGTGAATTATAAACCATGGTTTACGGTCCCACTATTGCCCAATAGTAGCCCTACTTCAGCTGGTTAACTAGAAATACCAGCAATCCTGTGAGCCCAGTGTTTTACTTGGCTAATAGCAGGGACTTGAGCAAGTTTAGAAGCTGTTGGGAAGGATCTAGTTGGGAGAGAGAAGGGGTAATACTAAGTGTCAGGTTCCTGAGAAGGTAGGTGGGGTGGGTCCCAAAGCACAAGTGAAAGAACTGCCTAAAGCAAAAGAGTCCCTCTGCTCCTGCAGTAGGAAAGAAGGAAGGAAGATGGAATGGAGACACGTATATGCATTTGGAAATGGGGAGCTAGGAGAGGGGCTACCTGTTGGCTTTTATTTTCCTTGTGAAGGAAAAAGGCAATGTCAGGTCAGTGGAAGGAGAGGTGGAGGTGGGGGTAGGGGAGGGGTTTTTGAGAGTGGAGAAGGTTTGAGATGGCCTTCAATGGGCATGGGAGAGTTAGTTGTTTGGAGCAACACAGTAGGACTCCTGGCAATGTTGATACTCATTTGAGGTTTGTGCCCATGACCTGTTGAGTGATTTTCTCCAGCAGAACTTGGCTGTTCTCTGGGAGAGAGGAATGGAAGAGTCCTTTCATATCAATAGTTCTCCTCCACTCAATTACACAGAGAAATGAACATTTATTAATGTAATTAATATTAAATACATATTAATATATTTGATGACCCAAGTCATCAAATCCATCGCCATTTTTATAGATGAGGAAATTGAGGGCCAGACTTGGTCCAAAGTTACATAGCTCATAACTGGCAGATTCTGGAATGGAAAAATCCAGATCTTTTGTCTACTAGTCCAGTTAGAACATTCAAGACGCAAAAATAATTGTTTCGTGCAAAATAAGTAAAGCAGACCTGTAGCTTATCAGTAAAGATGAGGGGGGGTGTTGTTCTGAGGGCACTGCTAATAAAGGCTGTAAAGAAACCACTGTTGATATTTTCAAAAACTCATTTGTTCAATAATGCCTTATATATCAATAATAGATTCATTCAAATATAATCTATATACCATAAGATGCACCCACTTAAACTGTACAGTTCGGTGGATTTGAGAATATTCACAAAGTTGTGCAAGCATCACCACTATCTAACTCCAGAGCAGTTTCATCACTCCTAAAATAAACCACATACCCATTAGCAACCACTCCTCATTTTCCCTTCCTTCCAACCCCTGGCAACCACTACCGTATGTTGTGTCTCTATGGAATTACCTATTCTGCACAATTCATACAAATGGAATCATATGACATGTGGCGTTTTGTGATTGGTTTCTTTCTCTGGGCATAACGCTTCCAAGGTTCATCCATGTTGTAGCATGTATCAGTACTTCATTCCTTTTTATTAATAATATTTAATTGTATAGATATACCACTTTATTTATTCATCAATTGATGAACGTTTGGGTATTTCCTTTTTTTAGCTATTATGAATAATGCTGTTATGAAATTCATGTATAAGCTTTTACGTGGACATACGTTTTCTTATTCATTAATTCTTATGCAAAAATTCACAGCTTAGAATTATAATCATGTAGACAGTATAGGACATATGGGTTCCCAGATAAACTTTCTTTTTTTTTTTTTTTTTACCAAAGCCTTAAATATAATGTATTATTTTCCAGGAGACCTAGAGACCTGGGCTCAGTAAAAGACCTAGCTGCAATACTTTAGCCCCAGAAATTCCTGGCTGATTTGGAAATAAGAATGAAAATATATTCAAATAGGTGACCTAACAGGCTTGTTTGGATAAAGTCCTTGTCTCAAACAGCGGGGATTTTTCAGATGAGGTTAAAATTCCAAAATAAACAAAAGAAATGTGAAACAATAGATTAGCAAATAGAAAGACAAATTAACTTGATGTGAATTTCATCGATTATTTTACCCAATTGAGGAAGGCACTCTCCCAGCTCCCTGCATTGCAGATTTACTACCAGGGAGCAATCTAACATGAACCTGCATGTAGAAGAGTGGGCCTGCCTTCACTTGGGGAAGGGGTGGGGTACAAAAGGGCTCTAACTCCAGGACAATGAAATGTAGTGTCACCATGGAATTCTGTAAAATGTGATAATAATGGAGTCTATTTGTGTACTGTCATTAGAAAATAATACCTAAAAGAGAGACATTTGGGGCTTCCCTGGTGGCGCAGTGGTTGAGAGTCTGCCTGCCGATGCAGGGGACATGGGTTCGTGCCCCGGTCTGGGAGGATCCCACGTGCCACGGAGCGGCTGGGCCCGTGAGCCGTGGCCACTGAGCCTGCGCGTCTGGAGCCTGTGCTCCGCAATGGGAGAGGCCACAACAGTGAGAGGTCCACGTACCACAAAAAAAAAAGAGTGACATTTGGAGATATCATTAAGGGAAAAAAAAGCGTATTTGTGATCTAGCTGCACAGGTAGAAGAATTTATGTTAGAATTGAAACTTTTACAATAATAATGATTTGACAGGTTTTTCTAACATGAAGAAATATGTGAAAGTTTTTAATTATAATTGACAGCATTATGTAAAATTGACTAGAAAGTGCAAAAAAAGAAGCTTTGTTGATATTGATAAATTGAGTTGTTTTTTGACTTGTGTAATATCCCTTTGAATTCAATGTTAATAATACTGAGTTGACACAAGAATTGGTGATTTAACTTAGATTAGGTGATTTAAAATTAGCATGCTTTTGTATAAAAGTCAAATCAATTATTTGTCAGTGTGGATGCAAATATTCAGGAAAAATGATTCTTTGGTACTTGATTCAGTTACTGGAACACTTTCAAGTTTGCTTGGAACAACTTGGGTATGTAAATCTCTACTTTTTTCACTGTAAATTTTATGAAATCTTAATACAGATTGGGAACTTCCGGTGAATACTAAACATCCAAATTGAGATGTGCAAGTGTAACATACATACCAGATTTTGAAGACTTAGTATGAAAAGAAATGTAAAATATCTCATTAATAATTTTTTACATTGATTATATGTTGAAATGATAACTCTTTGGATATATGTTGTGTTACATAAAGTTTATTACTATTATCTATTAATTTCATCCATTTCGTATTACTTCTTTTAATGTGGCTACTAGAAAAGTTTAAATTACATTTGTGGTTTGCATTATATTTCTATTGGACAGTGCTGCTCTAGTACCCTAATGACACATTAACAAGCAAACAAAAAAGGTCCATTTTTTTGGCATAGATATTAGAAAAAATGCAGAACAATTTATTTCTGTCATTAACTGCCAATGGGAAATATTGTACACTTTCAAAATGTGAGTAATGCAGCACAGTAAATAAACATATGCAAAGGAATTAATAGCTATGCTGACACATTTCAAGGTTGTGGAAAGACAAGTGAGAAGATGTGATTCGTGTGAAAATTCAGATGCAGCTGGCATTAAAGTGTGTTGTAAACTAAAGAGAATTTTATATACAATAAGTGACAGTAATTCAGACTGAAATGGCTGTCTTTTTAAATTCATGTGCAAGACGTGGAACACCATCATATGACAGTTTTGCAAAAAGAGAAGAGAAACTTCTTTCTAAATACATGCACTGGTTACAGTGATTATTCACTTCTAATTATTCCCATTTGGTAAAATATAAATTTTGTAAAACTAGTTTGAGGCCCATCTGTTTAGTTAGAAATTTGCTTAATGGTTTGAGAGAAGCAGTGAGTTTGAACCCTCAATCAGCTATCAAGCAGTAAATAATTGATACTTATTCTAAAGCAAAAGAATGAAACGTAAGTAAAATTTGGAAGTAAAACAGGGAAAAGGCCAAACAAAAGCATCATTTTCAGCATTTTTTTCTAGTTGCATCAAAATTAATTAGTGTTCTCCTGGAAGTAGAAATCTTAGCTTTTAGACACCTTGGAAGTTTTTGAAGTAAATTACTTCTCAAAAATCTTTTCATTAGAACTATAATATACTTTTTGTGTGTGTGTGTGAAACATACTCCAGAATAATTTGCTTTTTTTTTCTGCAAGTGAACCCTTGTGATCCTGGTGCAGCCTCTAGCAGTATAAAGACAGCTGCAAAATGTAAATTTAAGTCGTCTTTAAATCAGGGCCAGAGGTGTGACCCGTGGCCCCTGTCCAGGGGGATGAAGGGGAAGCAGCCCCTGGGAGGAAGGGGAGCCTGTCAGAACTAGCAGTCACGCAAACCCAGCTCCACCAGGACTGGTGGGCTGATGGCGAGCTAAACACTAGAAACCTAGAAAACTAGAACCTGGACAAGCTCTAGAGCAGAAGAGGAGGGGCTCGTCTCACTTACATTCTAGTGAATCCAGAGAAAGCATCATCGATAACTTTTCTGTTTCTAGAAGATATATGACTTTCTCAGTGTTTAGCATTTGTAGTTTAGCCTGGTTTGTGTACATCTGCTTTCTCATTTGTATTGGAATAACACCCCCTCCACAAACAAAGCTGGAGTTTGGGGTGGGAAGCTGTGCTTCTCGTAGAAATGCCACAGGATAGGAGAAGCTGGGAGCCTGTGCTCTGTCCCCTTCCCAACGTGGGGACAGGGGAACACAGAAGATAGATGCTGGCAGAGAAAGAAGTGAAAGGATGAATCCCACACGTAATCCCACATACAATGTGGCAGAAGGAGGGAAGGAGAAGTCGGCCCAACACTAAGAAGTGACCCTGGGAACAAGAGCCTGAGGTGGAATATCTTAGAGAAGTGGGAGTCTGCTCAGGCAATGACCTGGAAAGGTGACCTCAGCCTGAGGAGGGAATAGAGTGGGACTAAGAAATGGGCCAACTGACACAGAGGAATCAGTAGAAAGAGGCTGAATGTTTGCTGGTGGGAGATAAGACCTAGAATGGGAGAGAAAACCACAGAATGTCTCAAGTAACTGGGAGAGCCATGAATAAGAAATACATATTTAGTCGAGAAATTGGTAATGATCAATTTTGATGAATGCTGCATAACCTTCTTAGCAGTTCCAAGAGAGAGACAAAAAAAAGATTTTTGAGTTAAGAAAAAAATTAATCCTTGGAAAAACCATCCATCACATCTACCAAGCTGGAGTTACCTCCTATTTGGTAAACGATTATGATAAGGTTAATGGTGATAAATCACAGGGAGTGACCCTCATGCCTCTCAGGGAGGTGATTAGATTGTCAAACCCTTAATCATTTCCTGGATCTCCAGCCCAGGATTCCCGAGAGGCAAAGAGGCACAGTGTCAGAGAGAATGAACACTGGGGACAGAGGGTGTGGTGTGGCTAAAGGGCCATGGTTTTTAGGAAGAGAGGTCTGTGAGAGGCCACTGCTCTACTGCACTGGTAATATTTATTATCACGTCGCTGCAGAACCCGAGTGCACCTAGTGGGGAAAAGTACCCATGGAAATACTGAATTTACTCATCAAGTAAGAATTACTTATTAAGAGGAAATATGAGCTGAATTTACATATGTAATAAAAAATTAGCTTTCTAATCCACATGCCTGTTGAGTCATCATTTGTACAACTCATGGGCTATAACAGTTGAAAAACAAATAAATCTTTACCTGGCACTGTCTTTGGTACATTTTCAGTTCTTGTAAGAGCTTCTGATTTTCATCTTGTAACTTATTCCTGCTTAACGCTATTTCACTCACAGCTGATTTTAATTTTTCAATAATGAACTCATCTCTTTCATTGGTTTCACAACTGGTATCTGCTTCGCATATCCAAGGAATTTCAGAGCTGCTGTCTTCTTCTATGCCCTGTTTTTTACTATTTAGTGGAGTTTGGTAACTTTGCGCCTGTTTCTGAGAAATACAAAAATTGTTTCAGTTAAGTGAAGAATATCATATTTAAGCTTACGCAAAGTTCAAGAATGACAGAAAAGAATTAGTAAAAACATCTTTAAATATATTATTAGATAATGAAGCTTTGTCCTTCATAATTCAGTCTTGGGTTTATTCTAAAACCTCAATTTCAGGTGGCATAAAGAGAAAATATATCTGTATAACCTCAGAGCAAAGATGCAGAGTAGAGCAGATGGCTTTTGCTAGGGAATTCTTATTCAGCGAAAAAGGAAATATAGAAGATATGAAAAAAAGCATGGATTCAATTACATAATAGCTGAAAATGTCTCTATGACAAAAAATAAACAAAATAAAACAAAAAATCTGGATTGTACAAAAAAGTTGTCAACATGTATAACAAGGGTAATTTCTGATGTACAAAAACTTCTACACATCAATAAGAAAAAGACAAACACCACAAAAGAAAAGTGGTCAAAGTTTATGCACAGGCAATTCACAGAAGAGGAAATGAAAAAGGCTGAGAAACACAAGAAGAGATGCTCAACCTTACAAGTAGTCAGAGAAACGTAAAGCAAATGAAGTCAAGGTTACTATTAGTCCATCAAGTTAGTAAAAATCAAAAGACAGATAGTCCATGCTGGTGAGAGTAGGGGTAGTCTTGTTGCCTGTTCATGAATTATAAATTACTATCATTTTTAAGAAAGGAATCTGCTAATATTTATTAAAATTTTGAATGAACACACCTTTTGGCTCAGCGATCATTTCTAGGATTTTTATTTAACAAAACGAAAGTATTCGTATTTAAAGATGTACATACAAGGGTATTTGTTACACTACTGTAATAGCAGAAAACTGGAAACAACCTGAGTGTTAGTTAATAAGGAAATGATTGAAAGAATTATGGTACATCTGCGATATACTATGGTATATATGATATATATACACTATATACTTTGAAATATTTTAATTAAGTAGTGACTCAGAAGGCTATTCATGGCTTATTAAGTAAAAAAGCAAAATTTAAAAAAGAAAAATATACAATTTCCACACAAGCATATATTTACATATTTGTACAAACAAAAGAAAATGTATGTGAAGATAAACACCTAATTGTTAACAGTGTTTATATTAAATGGATAAGAATGAAATAGAGGATGAGGCTATCAGTTTTACATCACATTACTTTGTATTGTTGAATTCAGGGAACATGTATAACATATAATTCAAGTAACTTAAAGAAAGAATGAAAAATAAGTATATATCAAACAAAAATGTTTCTTACCAGCTTTAATAAAAATGCAAAATTCCTTAGGAAAGACTTTAAGGCTTATTACAATCTAATATCCCACTCGCCAGCCTTCCCTCCCGCCTACTGCCCCTTCACCTCCCACATGGACTTCTAGCCAATTGGCCCACTTTCCATTCCCTGAATTTGCCTTTTGCTCTCTTGCCTCAGTGACTTTGCTCATGTTATTTCCACCACCTGGAATACATTCTCTCTTGTCTCAAAATATAGCCATTCTTCTTCTAGGCCCAGGCCTAGTCCCACCCCTGCTGAAGGATGTTTCCTGACTATCTCAGTCCAAATTTTTCTCTTACTCCTTTGACCTCCAAAAGGATTTGTATCCTTTTCATTCACTTGTCATTAATTATCTGTAAACCTGTACATGTATTATCTGTGTCTAGGCTGTAAGGTTCTAGAGTGCCAGGACCAAGCAATCTTAAGACTTTCTAAATGACTTGCTCATAACAAAAACATGTTATTTAATGACATAATAACAATGGAGACTTTTAATAGCACCACCTTCTGAGACATACAGACTAAAGTCACCATTACAGATATTTCATGCACTTGTAACTCTACCCAGTGTTGGACCTACTCTGGTTATTTTCCCTTAGTTGGCATTTGTATCTGTAGAAGGATTACATGCTGAATGGTAAAAAGAGTAATAGTATTTAACCTCTAATTTATTCTGATTTAGAGGATAGTATTAGATAATGTACCTGAAATTGATTACACTTCTCAGATAATACTTTTTGTTGAGCATCTAAAGAAACCAGATGAGTCTGATATAGTATCTCCTGCTTGTCCCATTCTCTTGACTTTGCTCCAAATTCCTTTAAAAAGTGGAGAGAGAAATATAAATTGAAAAAATTATTCATTTTAAAGCACAATGAACAGGGCTTCTTTCATTTGTACGTCTTTCTTCTGAGAAAAAAAGTAAATCCATTCTCTCCCCATTAGGAAAACAAAAAAGTATCAAATCACTCATCTTGGATTTACTAATAGATATATCTTCTAATTTTTGCTAGGAAAGTATGGAATTGAATCCACTATTTTATTTTTATTTTTATTGGAGTATAGTTCCTTTACTGCATCTTTTTAAAAATAAGGATTTTGTTTGTTAAAAATATTAAAAAATTTTATAACAAATACTGATAACAAACAGCAGAGTTTCAAACAATTTTTTGCATCAACCAGTACTTCCTTTCTATTTCCTGAGCTGACACCAGAAGTTTTTTTCCCTTCTTTCATTCTTTACACTCAGTCACCAAACCTGCTCCCTTGTTTTTGAGGGGGTGGGGCTTGGACTGATTTAGTGACTTTGTCCCCTGTGGCTTTCAAAACTGTTATCCCAGGTGAAGCCAAGATTGACCCATTCTTGAGAACAGACAGAACAACCATCTCAGGCCTCCTTTAGGCAGTACCAACTGGGCTAAGCTGGAGAAGAAGTGGTAGAACTACTTGATACAGCATGCTCTCAGTTCTTCACCGTTTTGCTCAAGTAGTGTCTTCATGGAGCCTGGTTATCTGTTCACAAATTTATAAGAGGAAAGAATGTGGCTTTGGGAATCCCAAAGAAAACTTCACCGCTTCTCAATTTTGCCTAGGGCTGGCCATCATATCTCATCTTTCTGTCCAGGCTGTAAGCAACTTAAGGGTAAGGACTATGTATTTCATTACTTTTGTATTGCTCACAGTGCATGACAAAGTGCCAGGCACCACGTACAGGGATGTACAAACAAAAGCATGGTATTAATATTTCCAAAAATGTAAACATTTCTCACTAAATTTTGCAAAGAAAACAATGTGGTTGGAAACAAACTCTATAGCTACTAAGTCCATAGCGATGTATTACTGAAGGTAGATACATGGCATGAATGCATTGATGTTTCCAGTTATCAACTCAGTAGTATTAAGTGTAGTATTAGTAGTATTAGTGTCCAGCAGGTACTGTGGAGAGAGGAGAATTTGGAAATATTTCATGATTAAAAGAAACAAATTTTTGAAAGAAAAAATCAATTTATATATAAAATAAAGTAGGGAAATGTACATGTAAATAATTGTAAAGTGTTAGTACAATAATAGTGCCACATAAAAGCCATGCAGATGATGCCGTGATCATCTTAGCCGTCCCCAATAATACGTCAATTGGAAAAGACTTCATTTGGCTAGAGAGATTGGCGATGTTTTGAAGATGGTTGAAATGACTGGATTGGCTAGCTGGAAAATAAATATACTAATTTAGAGAATGAAAGCTACAACTTGCTTAAAATGAGAATATGGCATTTCATATTTTCTATAGAGAAATGATTTTAAAGACTATTTGGGGAAATCTTCATTTCATAAATCCAAAAGTCCCAAGATAATCAGTGAAAGAAGGCTATAAATTGGGAGGCTTTTATAGTAATTAAAGGTGACCTGAGATTGAGTGGTGGTAAGAAAGATGGAGAAATATAGATAGACCCTGTTTTAAATATATAATAATACCCTGATAAATAGACCATATTTATTAAGATAAATGGACACAGTTCATTTAAAGTTATTGACTTTGATTCTGATATTTGACAATTTAAAATTAGGTACATGAAAACAGGGTCTTCAGAAATAGTGACAAATTTACAAAACTAGGTACACTTCAAATCAGTACAAGGTGGATTAAAAAATTGCTGTTTAATTTAGAAAGGAGTATTTGGAGTCAGAAGTCAAAATGTGGGCAAGGTTGACTTGCACAGTTCATATCTTTCAATGATATTAATACTTAACACCCAACAATCTCAATCTTGACAATAAATATTTCCCAGCATGCTTTAGGAGGAGGCAGGAACATCAGCCTCACTTCCTTACAAATTCTACAACAGGTAGAAATGAGGCCAAGAATGAGGCCAAACAAGGCTAAAAATGTGTGTCACAAACATATAGTCTGGTCCTTATAACAGTCCTGGCTTCCTTGGTCTTACAGATGTATTGGTTTCAAGATCAGCAAACAAGCAAGCACATCTCCAGCAGTCATGGGGCCGTGCAAAGACACAGAAAAGCTTTATGAGGATTTTGTAGAGACTGGAGGTGTCGGCCCAGGCTCCAGTTCCAGAGGCTCTGTACACTTGCTTAAACCTCCAGAGTACGTTCTCCACAGCTAGAAACCTTTTCTAGGTCTTTAAGTTTGAGAGTGGATCAGAGGCATTAAAATCAAAGTTTCTAGCAGAAGCTATATTATTATATATAGTTTTTAATCCCTCTACTAAATCTTGAGAGGTAGAATGACCATTTCTTTAGTGATTACTGTATGTCAGGGACTCTACAAACCTCCACTTGCAAGATAGTTTTAACTTTTTAGTATGAAAATGTCCATACTTACATAAAAGTAGAGAGTAAAACAAACTCCCATATACCCTTCACCCAGCTTAACTACTGTCAACTCAGTCCATCTATATTTCATCTATCGCTCCACCCATTCTTGTTGGAGTATTTTAAGGCAACTTCCAGACTTCATGTATTTTTACCCCCAAATGCTTGAGTGTGCATCTAAACACACATACACACACATATATTTTTTTCTTCCATAACCACAATGTCACTTATATTTTTAGCCCCCATTTATTGGTGAAAACTGTAATCTCTGTGAAGTTAACAGCTTGTCTAAAGGTCACAGGGCAAATAAATGAGTCAGTCAGGTCCTATTTTAAGTTGTAAACTGTCAGGTTCTTCCACTATAGCAAGCTGCTTCCCATTGCTCGATCGCTGTACCAGTGTATAAATGTTTGTCCCCAAGGAGAAACATGCTTAGATGTAGACTAAAACTGGAACAGCCCATCTCCTACACATTAATTTTTCAGATGCTTCTAAGCAAAAACAGGTACATGAAGCATTTCTGTAATAAAATAGATTAAACTGTATCTACATAGTGTGCTTAAAAATGTTTGTATAAGTACAAACATATCAAGTCATACTTTGCTACTAATTTCCACTATAATTTCACGAGATACATTTTATATAAATATTTAGCTCCCTAAATGTAAAATGTATACACACAAAGTACTTAATTTAAGGCTTTTTCTTTGTCCAAACAATTTATATGAATGTAATTCTCCCACTAATCCCCATGAGAAGTCAATCAAATGGAACATCAGTGACTTAACTGCATTTTCAGTGAAAGCTCGTGTATATTATGTCGCAGTCTTTGGGCATCTTCTGTGAGACCAGAATATTTCAGAAGCCAGTCGAGTTACACCACTGCAAGAGCCAGGGAGTTATACACAGTGCATTTTCCTAGAGGGTCAACCTTACTCAGTGGTAGTAATTTTGTATTTAAAAGAAGGTACATTTATTATTCAGTACAATATAAAATTTGCAGGAATTTAAAAACTAAAACCAAAGACTTCCAACAAAGTTCTTGCGATAGGCTGGTTTTAGGACTGTGATTCCAGATTTTTTTTTTTTTCCTGCTCTTAAAAATATTTTGGAGGAAAAGTTTGAGAAGGACTTAATTGAAGAGTCATGATAAAGATGAAGAAGTATGAAACAGGGCAAGGACAATTAGATAGGAGAAAGACAGAGATAAGAGGCATTAGACAAAGGAAAGGGGCAAATCTGGGCTGGAATATGAGAGTTAGAGAAAGGAACAGATCAAAGATTCCTAAGGGGTTTCTACCTGGTTGATTGGGAAGTACAGAACCATTACCTATTAACAAAGTAGAAGAAACTGAAATCATTGGCTGACGGTGGGAGAAGCTGGGGTTTAGGGCTTGAGAACAGTGAAAAAAAAAATGACTGGGATAACATGATAGGGGTCAACTTGAGGTCAATTAAAAAACAATGATCGAGCAGCACTGGGAATTTAGCTAAGGTTAGAGAACAGGGATTCATACTAGAATCTATTTGCTGTCATGTGACCAGTAGCAGGAATGCTCAAGGGCACAGGGAAGAAAAATAGCTGGTTTATTTTTTCCAAGGTTGGAAAGTTAAGGGGATTAAAATAAGTGTATCTATGTCATAGTAAACCTTTATAGGGACTGAGATTTTAGAAGTTCCGGGTAACATGGGGTAGCTATATTGGAGTGGCACTACCTCTTCAAAGAAAAGATCCTGAGACTTCAAGCTCTGTTCTGAAAACTGCTATGAGGCTTCATTGGGATTTAAGTACCTAATAGTTAAACAGCCATTAAAAGATTTACTAGACACTCGCTTTAAGTGACCCCAGGGATGTCCTTCAACTTCACTCGACATCTGCAGTTCCTTTGAACTTTGTTTTTTGCTCTCCAAAAATGCTGATACACATAAAAGATGTATAAATCGAAGTGATGTTTTAATTCACTAAGTGCCTGAAGGGAAGGTGCACTAAGAAAATATATTCAATGAGAAGTTGATTTCTAATGGAGTTTGTTACCACAGCGGTACATGTCATTGTGTACACGAGAGACAAATAGCCCTCAACAGCAACAACAAAAACCCATCTCAATACACAGGGAGAAACTAAGAAAATATAGCTCACCTCTAATTTCTGGTTCAAATTGCTCAGTTCAAAGGGTATTTCTTTGACGTGTGGTACTTCTTTTTGTCGAAATTTATTTTGTTTCATCTGGTGTAATCTCAGTTTTTCAAAGCTATTAGTTAGTTTGGAGAACTGTAAATAATACAGAATGATAACATTTTATTATTGGTTATTTCTAACTCGATTTCACGATAGTTCTTTTCTTGTGTACCTCTTTCAAAATTTAAGTCACGATTAGCAAATGCAGTAAAGCTTAAATGTTCCAATTAGTGAAGATAGAACTAGTTATTAAAACTAAATTATTGAAGTTGAACGCAATTCAGCTTTCATGTAAATTTGGAACTTCATTAACTGCACAGTTAAACAGCGATTCACTTGATAAAATGTTTTGTTCAGTTTTGTCTTAACCATATGTAGCAAGGCTCAAAATTTAAAACAACCAAGTTTTTTTCTTATTTTTATTTAGTGACATCTTGTGTTGACGATTTTAATTTCAGTAACTCAATCTATAAAATAACCAACTTATAATCCATTTAAGAAAACTGAGGACTTAATTTAAAAGATACAAACAACATACGCTTATTCATGTTGATATAAGTTTAAATAAAATTAAATATCAAGCTTGATATGATCTTTTTCTTACCAGTAATTCTTGTTATAACTTAGACTCTGTATTATTTTTTTTCTTGCTTCTACCTTCAAGTAATTGATTATAAGTGTCATGGTCTATCAACATCTGTTGATAGGAAATTTCTAAATAACAAGATTTTTTGTTTTTATTTTTTATCTTGAAATAAGTATAGATTCAGAGGAAGTTGCAAAGATATTACAGAGAGGTTCTGGGTCCTCTTCATCCAGTTTCCCCAAATATTTACATCTTATTGAACTATATAGTACAGTATCAAACCCAGGAAATTTATGTCAGTACAATATGTGCATGAGTGTATCAATAGTTCATTCCTTTTTATTGCTCAGTATTATTCCATGGTATGGATGTAACCACAGTCTGTTTGACCATTCACATATTGAGACATTTTTGGTTGCTCCCAGTTTTTGACTATTATAAGTAAATCTGTGAACAATTGTGTCTACTTTATCTGACAGTAATGTAGTCATTGCTGCTTCCTTTTTCCTTCTCACATTGTTTTTAAAATGGATATATAATTCACCTAATATCAAATTCACCCTTTAGAGTATATACTTCATTGGTTTCTAGTATATTCATAGTTGTATAACTATCACACTATCTAATTTCAGAATATTTTCATCACCTCCGTTAGAAACCCTATATCTATTAACAGTGACTACACATTTCCTCCTTCCCCAAGGCCTGGCAACAACTAATCTACTTTCTGTTTCTATAGATTTGCCTATTCTGATCATTTCATATTAATGGAGTCATACAACATGTAGTCTTTTGTGTCTGGTTTCTTTCACTTAGCATAATGTTTTCAAGGTTCATCCATGTTGTAGCATGTATCAATATTTCATTCCTTTTAATGGCTGAATAATATTTCATTGCATGGATATACCACATTTTGTTTATCCATTCATCAATTGATGGACATTTGGATTGTTTCCACTTTTTGGATATTATGGAAAAATGCTGCTATGAACATCTGTGTACAAGTTTTTGTGTGGATATATGTTTTAATTTCTCTTGGGTATATACCTAGGAGTAGAATAGCTGGGTCATATGGAAACTTTAAGTTTAACTTTTTAAGGAACTGCCAAACAGTTTTCCAAAGTGGCTGCACCATTTTTCATTTCCAGTGGTAATGTATAGGGTTCCAATTTCTCCATATCCTCACCAACATTTGCTGTTATCTATCATTTGGTTATAGCTATCAGCAGGTGTGAAGGGGTATCTCATTATGGTTTTGATTTGCATTTCCCTAATGACTAATGATGTTCAGCACTTTTTCATGTGCTTATTGGTCATTTATATATCTCCTTTGGAGAAACGCCTATTTATACCTATGCCCATTTTAAAATTTGGTCTTCTTTTTATTGTTGACTAGTAAGAGTTTTTTTCTTTTAATTCTGGACACTAGTCCCTTATCAAATATATGATTTGCAAATGTTTTCTCCCATTTTGTCGGTTGTCTTTTCACTTTCTTTTGGTGTGCTCTGAAGCACAGAGGTTTTTAAAATTTTCATGAAATCAAGTTTACCTAATTTTTATTGTGCTTTTGGTGCCAAATCTAAGAAACTATTGCCTAATCCAAAATCATGAGGATTTACTCCTATGTTTTCTTCTAAGAGTTTTACAGATTTAGTTTTTATATTTAGGTCTTTGATCCATTTTGAGTTAATTTTTGTCTACGGTAAGGGTTGAACTTAATTCTTTTTCATGTGGATATCCAGTTGTCCTGTCACTGTTGAAAAGACTTTTTTCTCCATTGAATTATTTTGGCACCACTTCTGCTTTCTGTTGATTAATATCTGTAGGGTATATATTTTTCTATATTTTTTTGTTTTTTCTATTTTTTACTTTCAATTTACATATGTAGTTATATTTGAAGTGAGTTTCTGGAACACAGCATATAGTTTGGTCTTTTTTAAAATTTACTCTGTAAATCTCTATCTTTTAACACGTGTATTTAGACCATTTTCATTTAAAGTAATTATTATTATGTTAGGGTTTAAGCCTGACATTTTTTTGTTTTCTGTTTGTTATCCAGGTTTTGTTTTCTCTGTTTTAGCTTTCCTGACTTCCTCTGGGTTCTTTGAACATTATTTAGAATTCCATTTTGATTTATCTATAGTATTTTTGAATGTATTTCTCTGTATAGCATTTTTAGTTATTGCTCTAGGTGTAATATTATAGACACATAGCTTATTACAATCTACTGGTGTCAACATTTTACCAGTTCAAGTGAAGTGCAGCATCTTAGTTCTCTTTATTTCCCTTTGCCATGACCCATTTCTAACATTATTGTCTTTAAGAAATTTCTCAATATACATTAAGAATCACTTTAGACACTTATAATTTTTGCTTCAGCTGTCAAACAATTTATCAATAGAAAACTCAAGAGAAGTAAAGTCTATTGCATTTACCCATGTTTTCACTTTTTCCATTTTTTTTCTTCCTTCCTGATGTCTCAAAAGTCTTTATCATTTCCTTTCTACCAAGAGAACTTCCTTTGGCTATCCTTTTAGGGCAGATCTATTACTGACAAAATCTCTTAGTTTTCCTTCATTTGAGAATTTCTCAATTTCCTCTTGATTCTTAAGGATATTTTCTCTGAACATGGAATTCTGGGTTGACACTTTTTCTCTTTCAGCAATTGAAAAACATTCCACTTCCTTCTGGCCTCCGTGGTCTCTGATAAGAAATCCATTATCTGAATTGGTTTTTCTATATAGGCAAAGTGTTATTTCTCTCTTCCTGTTTCCAAGACTTTGTCTTAGTTTTCAGAACTTTGACCATGATGTGTCTTGGTGTAGATTTGTTTGGATTTATCATATTTGAGTGTCACACAGCCTCTTGAATCTGTAGATTTACATCTTTTGCCAGGTTTTGAAACTTTTCAGTCATTACTTCTTTGAATACTTTTTCAGTCCTACCCTTTTTTCTCCTCTTTTCTGGGACTCCGATGATACAAGTTTTCAACCTTTTGTAGTAATACTACAGGTCCTTGAGGTTCATTTTCTTTTAGTCTGTTTTCTCTCTGTTGTTCAGATTGGGTAATTTCTATTTTGCTATGTTCAAGTTCACTGATTATGTCCTCTGTCCTCTCCGTTCTGCTTTTGAGCCTATCCATTGAATTTTTTTAGTTTGGTTATTGTATTTTTCAGTTATAAAATTTCTAACTGCTTGCTCTTTAGTTTTATTTCTTTGCTAAAACGTTCTAATTTAATTTGTTTCAGGGATGTTTGTAATTGCTCACTGAAGCATTTTTATAATAGCTGCTTTAAACTCCTTGTCAGATAATTCTAACACCTATATCAACTCAGCGTTGGTGTCTCTTGATTGCCTATTCTCATTCAAGTTGAGATCTTCCTTGTCTTCGGCGTGATGAGTGACTTTTTAACTGAGGCCATTTTTGGGTATTGTGTTACATGACTCTGGATTTTATTTAAATATTGTGTTTTAGCAGTCCTTTTCTGACAACATCCCAGTAGGGAAAAATAGAATGCTGCCTCGTTGCTGTCAGCTGGCAGGGAAAGTCCAGGTCTTAACTTGGCCTCAGCTGGTAACTGGGAGGAGGTATTCCTCATTACTGCTGAGTGAGAGTGAGAGTTCAGGCTCCCCACATTTTCCGCTGACAACACTTTGATTGGAGGGGCATAGGTGCCTTGTTACTGCTTCTCACACGATCTTCAATGATGCTGTAGTGAGGGGCGTAGCCCTGTTACTATGGAGAGGTGGTGAATGTCCTGACTCCTCATTAGGCTTCCTTGGATACCATTCCAGAGAAGAGGAGGAGGGCTGCCTCATCACCACCAGATGGGCAGAGAAGTCCAGGCTCTCCACATGGTCTCCACTGACACCATGGGCTGGGGAGGGCCTTGTTGACACCCCGTGGTGATGAAACTCCTGGATTTCCACTCAGTCTTCTCTGACCCCATCCAGGTTGGGGCCTGAGCTACCTCATTATAGATAGTAAGGGTGGAACCGAGGCTGTCCACTCAGTCTCTGCCAGTGAAGTGGGTTTGCAGCCATAGTCTTATTCTGTGGCCTTTGGCTAGTGTCAAGCAGTTATTATCTAAAAGTGTTTAATCTTGGTAGGTTGTCTTTTCTTCTGGTTTTTCAGTTGTAGGCAACAGGCTTTCCTTGGGGCTCTTTTTGTTTGATTGTGCCCACTGGAGTGTCTGGGTTGCTGGCTTCTCTGTTATCCAGTCTGGGATATAAGAGGTAAAAAGAAATTCCAGGAACTCATCACCATGTTGTTCCTTGGGTCCCAAGGTCCTAGTTGGTCTGTCTTTCCTCTCCACTTCTCAGAGTCTTCTTATTGTTTTATAAATAATGCCCAGGATTTCTAGTTCCATTTAGCAGGAAGAATAGGGGAAAGTACATTGACTCCATCTTTCTAGAAGTAGAAATCTCAAATATATATATAATTATAGTTTTATAATGGTTAGAAGGAAAAGAAAATATCCCATTTTATAAAAGGAAGCAATTTCTACAAGAAAGTTTTGACAGAGTTGAGTTTTTTAAGACAGAGTGTGGTAAAATGTACCCTTAAGAAATTTTAGGAAAATAAGGTTGTAAAGAAATGAGGAATTTCAAAGAAAGAAGCAGTAGAGTGAGCCAGCAGCAACAAAAGCATGTTTGCCACAAGATATCATTTTCTGGTTAGAAATATGACATATTACTAGTTATTATGCAAACCAAGTCATATACATAGTACTTTTCTTTTTCTCTCTTTTTCCCTCCTTTCCTCTTCCTTCTCTTCTGCCTTCTCCCCCCAACTCTCTCCTTTCCTTTCTTTTAACCAGAGAAGAAAAGAGAGGCAGAAAACTGCAGCGGAAGCATATGGCTGTTCTCTCAACAACAATGTAGTGTTTCCAAAGTGTATTCTATGAAATACCTGTTTATGGTGTTTACACTGTAGCTGTGCTATGGTGTTAGTTGGTTTTAGTTTAAAAAACAAAAGGGTTCCATGGTCAAATATGTTTGAAAAATGATGGATTAAAAAGGCTAAATGCATGTTTTTAAAGCAAGACTTCTCACAGCCTGTAATACGCCACTATGCACTGTGAATGTCCAGGAGAAGAGGAAGAGTAAATAGCATTTCCTAAGCTTTCAGTGTCAGTACACAGAACAAATTTTTGTGAAAATTGCCGTAAAGACATTTGTTGGCTAGCTGGCAGCTGAGTAATAAAATAGAGCTGCAAAGCATCAAATGGCAAGGATTCATATATTAAATGACTGCTCAGTGCCTGTAAACAAGCCCAAAACTTTTTACCAACAGACATGAAAAAAAAAAAAAATCCAGAAATTAAAGATCTGGTAAGCTGCGGCTGAACTCGTTAAATATAATTTAGAGATGGTACTTAACTTGTATCTAGATTTCTGTATTTTTTCAAACTTATTCCAGGTTGTGATCTCTTTGTTTATACTGAAAAATTATAGTGATTCAATATTTATGTTGCTATGTTAGAGCTTCATCTTTATAGAAAAAGTAAGGTTGATTGACTTAAGTGTTAAATGCTTAGAGTCTTAAGTAGGAAAACCCATATAAAGTTTCATAATTCAAGCCACCATCTAGCAGCAGCTATTTAAATTGCAGGCAAAATATCTCGGTAGAGACTTAAGAGCTAGTCGTGTAAGATCATACCCACTAGGCGGAATCAAATGCTTCATATTCCTATTGCAATGGCTGATCACCTCCCTAAGAAGGTACATAAGGAGGAACTTTAACTTCTTTGGGCTCCTTTAACTATATTATCATCTGTGAAATCTCTGCACTCCAGAGAAAGCTGGTTATAAAGTAAAATTCATAATCAAACCATATTTCCCATTGATTAATTTACTAAGTGAAGCAAGGATACAGTACCTATGAGACCTGAGATGCTCAGATGCTTATTGCCCTATGTGTCACCTGTGGGAAGAAAGAGAAGACTTTTTGCTTCCTAGCACAGTGGGGAGTATAATATAGGGATAAATCAGAAAGAAATCAGTATCCCTCTCATCATATATGCAGAAGCCCTCTCACTTATGAAACAGCCCTACCAGTAATAAAGCAATAAAGACCAGTTTTGTTCTTTCAAATATCTATTTCATAATAGCAAACCTCCATATTTTAAATTGCCATAGAAGAAAGGACACCCCTATTAGGAAGTAGTGACTACAAAAGATAATACTCTGTTTTTGTTGTTCACAAAGCTAATTATCATGATATAATTAATCTACTAATCACTTGATAAATAGAAAGCCATTAGTCTAGCACTGTGCTAAGAGTTAAAGGGATACAGAGCTGACAATCTAATAAAAGAGACAAAATCAATACACATAAAACAATGAAAGACAGGGCCAAACATATAACCTGTAGTTGAAATACTAGAACTTTTGCTTGTACTAAAAATAATTCATTTTAACAAAATTAACACAATTTTGTAGGTCAAAACATATACCAAAACATATAATATTAAATTGTAATAAGTTTCCTTACTTGAGCTTTTAGGGTTTGTAGTTGTGCTTCGTAATTCTGAGTCATTGCTAAGTTACATTTTTCCAAACTGTCCAACTTCTGTCTAAGTAACCCCACCTGAATTAAGAATAAAATTTAATTTTTCTAAATTTTGCCTGACAAAATCAGAAAATGTACAAAAGAGGAGTACAGTTCAAATAAAACTGCTGTACCAAACCAAGAATAAATATTTGTACTGTGGTTCTTAGAATAGTTATTAATAATTAAATTCACAAAAACCAAATGTAGCTAGCACTATTCCACTGGGTACACATTAAGACAGTATGGTATGGATGTTTGACAAAAGATCCTTCTCACGGGCACATTCTAAAGCAAGATTTAAAATTTACTTCACATTATCTTTTTGGGAGGCTTATGTCATCGTTCCTGGGGCAGAGCCCCCGCAGACACACTTCAGCCTTTATTTTAGGTGCTACTACCTTCAATGGGAGCTCTGTTTTATTGGTGTTGTGGAATAATTGTTACATTTTTATAAGAACTAACAAATTAAAAAGAAAAAGAGAAATGTCTAAGAGGAGTTCTTAGGGATTTGGCTTACAGAATTTGTCTGCTTAAAAAGTAGGCGAGGCCCCTGTTCGCACATCTGTATTGTGACAGGTACAAAAGTGAGAAAATAGTCCCTTCCATATGCCAGGTCTTATGACCTGCCTCTATTGATAACTAACTAGGCCAAACATTAACTTAGTTAACCATGACAAAAAACTAAGTTCCATTGAGAGGCCACTAGAGTTAGAAAAACAGCCACTGAACAAGTTGACTTGATGTTTTAGTTATTAGCATGTGATCAGTAAACATGTTTCTTATGCCTCACCCCAAAGAAAAATTCACAGACATGAAAGTCCACATCAGGTGAAGCGTATGCCTTTCCTGAACTCCTCTGCAGGCCCGAGAGCACTCAGACCTCCTTCTACCATCACCAGCTTGGCCACAAGCACCTTCACCGGGGCCCAGGGCATTCCTCCCAAGTGGGCGCCCAGGTAGACACACACTCCCTTCACCAAACTGTTTTCTCTCTTGTTATGCAATCAAGGCTTTACCTTTTACTTCTTTTAGGAAAGATTTTTCTAGCAGATGAGAAAAGGCAAATGCTCCTGAACTCTGCCTCATCCAAAGGCACAGCTTTGTTGACTACTTTGTTTCTACAGCAGCAAAAGCACGGACATCTTTGCTTGCAAACAGCATTTACTTCACATACGTATTGAATGTTTGTTCACTTTCCTAGAGGACATTGACTAGACTCTATTTCTGTCTGCATTGGCAAATTACTACCGGTTTAAGCTCTGCTTGCCGCTTATTTGATAGAATACATGTAGCACACTGCGACAGAATTTCAAGCTATGAATGCTCTTGCTGATGCCTGATAAAAAGTATGTGTAATGAAAAATATATTCGGACAGGACAAATACTATTTATAACAGTCTGAGGAATTAACAATTTATTAACACATCTATGCAGTACCTCTTGACCTTTCTGTTCTAAACAAGTTTGTGCACTTGCCAACTCTTGATCCCGAAGATCTAATCGTGTCTCCAGAGCCCGCATCTTCCTTTCCCAATCCAGTTTTTTGTTGTTTACCATGATGTCAATTTGTTCCATTAATTCCTGAAGCTCAGCCTCACAAGGAGAAACTCTGGCAATTGTAGAAAAGTAAAATACATTTAAAAAGAGTGAAATGTGAGAAAAAGAAAAATTATGATCTTGCTTTGAATAGCTTGATCATTATTTCCTCAAATTGTTCAATTATTTAAATAGGAAGAATTCCGAAAACCAGAGGTTAACGTTTTAAATTAAAACTAAAAGCTAATTTCAGAGCTAACAGTGTACATACTTTTCAAAGGCATTTTAAAAAGTACAGTTGCTGCCATAATATAATGCAATATATTGATAAAGTCACTGCCTGCATTTCTCTTATGTACTGGTGGTAATGCATGGATCTCCCTGACCCAAAAGTTTTGACTTAGACAAGGGAGTCCTAAAATGAAAAAAATATTGTGTGGATTACATCAAAAATAAGGTCACAATAAAGAAAGTTAGTTTAAAAATAATAAATAAATTAATTAATTTTAGAGTGGGCTAATTCGAAGGAAAATTCTAATTATGAAAAATGATTCCATGCTCTTACATGTAAATATACATATACCTATGTGCCTATCATAAGTTGAGGAGGTTTGACGGCAGGTCAGCTGGGGCTTCAATTGTGCCTGCCAGGGAGAGAGGAACAAGCCCAGGCTAGGTAGGACCAGATTCAAATGTACTATCTGGGCTACACTGCTGCTCCTTCGGGAGAGAAACTTGGTGTGATCTGGCTGGTGGTATCTCTTTGGAAGGAATCTAAGTGGGCAGGTGTGGGCAGAGTAATGTAAGATTTTAGACAATGGGGATACTATTAGTCAGAAAAGTGGTAATATTTTGAGTCTAGGAAGGTCTACTGTGTTTGAAACAAGACGCTTGATGATAACTAGAATTATAGAGACCGAGAGTTGGAGAGGTTGCTAAGTGCTCCCAGGGCAGGGTCCTCCTTCATAGAAGCTGAAGCATTCCGCAAGGACCTGGTATAAATCCAGTCATTCAGCCTGGATAAGTAGGTAGATGTTGAGACCTCAGACTTCAGCTTAAAGAACACACAAATGTCCAGATGAGAAAAGCAAGTTACTTCAGTATCCATTCAGTGGTGCTGATAGGGCTTCCAATATATTTGCGTAGCTGGGAGGAAGGCAGGAGAGGCAGGTGTAAAAGACATCATTTCCTCCATTTAGTTGCACCAAATCAGAATTTTAGGGCTAATTAAGGATCATTTAGCATTTTTAAAAAACTGAAGCCCGGAGACATCAAGGTCACACATTAATTAATGGAAGAGCCAGAACTAGATCTTAGACGGCTGCTTCCCATCTTAATTAAGCTCCTTCCTGTATACCACACAGCAAAAGACATGGTGTTTTGCATAAGAACTTGCTTGAAAAATGTAGTACAAATTAGCTCTGTTGCAATAGGTTTAGAAATAGGTATTTGAACTCAAAGAACTCAGAATTTCCAGAATCCCTTTCTCAAGTACCCAGAGTCATCCTGAACAAGAGATGTCCCTTTGATTGGCTTATTCAACAGCAGATTCACCAGTTTTGACACCACAGAGGTTTTAAGTACAAAATGCCATTCTTAAGTCTTCTAACATTCCTGGGCTAAGGCCCAAAGGCTCTCAATTTTTACTTAAAACCTAAAACAAGTCTGAGGAAAGGAAATACTAGTTCCTCTATAAAAAACTTGATTGGATTTTGGTTGGAGTTCTGATGTGGGGAAAAACAACAGAACGAAAAGAATGGTTTTCACACCATTTTTATTTCATAACAACATGTATCACCCTTTACTGTAAATACATTTTGTCTATTTTTTTCTGCTGGTGTAAGCTCTGAAAGAAAAAGGACTACATCAGTCTTGTTCATCACCATCTCCCCAAGGCTTAGCACAGTGCTCCAGCACATAGCAGATGCTCAATAAATCTCTGAAGAGTCAACAAACGAGTTTTTTCCATTACTATCTCCTTGGCATATAGGAATGTACCATGCTAATAGAATTAAAATATAGGCCTAAAGTAGAGTGTGGCATAATATGAGCTACTCAATCAGTATTGTTAAATAAGTGAACGAAGTGTTTATTTCCTGGTTATGACTATGATATGCAAAAGTCAGAATATTAGACTTCAAGGTGGAAAGGCTTTTACAGGTCATCTAGTCCAACTACCCATTCAGTGTTTGCATACCTTCCACAAATGTTTCTGGAGAGAATCATCTATCATAACCCACTGATCAGATTCAGCAAATCTAGGACAGAGCCCAGATTCTGCATTAGTAACAAAGGTATCAAGTACATGCCACTTGGTGCATGCCAAAGTTTGTGATCTATTTTGTAATATCACTGCCAAGAGGTCACCCAGCCTAGGTCTGAACTTTTCCTTTAGCAGGTAACCACTGTCTGAGATTGCATCTAAACAGAAGTGGGTTTTTAAAAGTTCTTTCTTATACTGAAGAACTTTTTCATCCACTGGTCCTAATTTGATCCATTGTAACCATTGAGAACAAATGCCTTTTCAACACTGTAGACTATAAAATACTTGAATACAGTTATCAATATGCTGAATACAGTTATCAGTGTACCTCCAGATTCTCCCTGAGTCTTCTCAATGTTCAATATTTGAGACTGAACATACTAACAGACAATGCCAGAATATACGGTAATGGATTCTGACCCAAAACCTTTGCAGCAAAAGTCCTAGAATGGTCAAGACTTGGTCAATGACTGACAGCTTCCCCAATTTTGCCTCCACTTCCAACTCAGGACCAACCAGAGAAAGGCAAATATGTTCCCCAAACCAATCACATAGGAGGCCCTGCTTCTAACGATCCTGCCTCTAGCTTCCCCATGTCGACAGCCTAGGGCTGAGGCATACCTGAAGCCTTCTGGTTTTTCACTGTTAAGCCTTCCCACTCTCCTGCCTGTCTTTGAGTCTGCCAAATGCAAGTGATAGCTGACTCCCTTTTTATAGAAATCTTTGAATAAATAGCCTTCATTTGTTCTTATTGGGTGGTCTTTGTTTATTTTCACAAGTTATCTTTATTTCCTTCAATTGCTTGTAGAGATTTTTTTTTTCTCTACCATTCACTACCTAGTATACTGTCTAGGAAATACTACATGCTTAATATACAGTTGTTGAACTGTGTATTAGTTGAAGAAATGAATGACTATTTTAAGATTTTCAGAACCTTCATAATCCTGGTGGCTCTCCTCTGAACAAGTTCCTTCCTGTTTGTCGATTTCCTCCTTGAAATGTATTGTTCAGAACTTTAACATGGTACCCAAGGCATGGTCTAATCAGCTCAGAGAGGGACTCTCACATCCTTTGTTTTAGGTGATACATACTTTCATTCAAGCAGATGAAGAACACCTTAGCTTTGAATTTGGGAGGGGGAAGGGTAAAGCAGTGATATCATATGACTTTTAAGGCGAGTTTTTTCTTGCTAAACACGCTTTTTCCTTTTCATGAATGCTATGAGTAGAGCCACCTACTCGCTATCTTGTGATTGTTTCATTTTGGGGGATGCTCCAAGGGCAGGGATTTATATTTATTTTCATTACATTTCAGTGTTACAGTTTCAGCCTTGATGTAGGTTGTCATCACTGATTCTTTAAGGAAGCAAACATTCACAGGTGACTTCTCCCCACTGTGAGAGGAACTAGGAAGACAGAGACACAAGACCAACTGCCTGTGTATAGGAAGACTTGCAAGGCAGGCAGGTACAGTAACAGATTGATGAATACATACAGTTCTTTTGGGAACAGAAAGGAGGGGCCCGAATACCCCTTGGGTATTGGACAGCGTGGACTATCACAGAAGACTTCCTGAAAGAGGTAACACCTGAGCATATATTTTGTGATCCTGGTACTGTCAGAGAATATATTCACTATACCTCCCAATTTTGTGTCAGCAGCAGATTTGATAAGCATTACTTGTTTTACATATACAGTTTTTTTTCATACAAGTGATTGTTAAATGTCATAAAGGACAGGAGACAGGACAGAGCCCTCTGGCCTTCCATAATCAAGCCCTTCAGGGTCACAGTGATCTGTTGATTATTTCTTTTATTATAATCAGATGTTAATCCACTTAATTAACCTTACTTTTTTTTCCCACAAAATATGTGGTGAAAAGCCCTATAAAATATGCCAAAGCCCAAGTACATCTCTGTCTATATGTTCTCTGACATACCAGCATATTTGCACTTTGAAGCAAGGCTGGTCTAGCATGCAGTGGTCCAGGTGCATCCACGCTGAGTCCTGGTGGCCACTGCTTCCTCTTCTGGATGCTCACAAACCACTGATAATCTTTTCCAGAGTCTTACCTAAGATTTAGTCAAACACACTTTTACATCAAATTCAGCTTTTGGTCATATTTAATACTCCCTTTTGAAAGTCAATGGTCTAATCTTGTAGTATATTTTCCCTTCTTCAGTTTCTCAGAGATAATTAATAGCAGTTCAGCTGTCTCAGTATCAATATCTGTTCCTAAATCTAGTGAACTTTAAAATAAAATACAAAAGGCTTAGTTTAGCCTCCTCCATAACTGGACAGTACATTATTTATATTTGTATTTCTTCCTTTAGTCAAATGCTGACTAACACTATGCTAATTACTTTCCTGTACTTCCTGTCATGAAGCCTTATAACATCCCATAAAGTAGACCTTATTATTCCAAGTTTAGAAAAGTTGACTGAGGAGCTAAAAAAGAAAAAAAAAAATTCTCTGAATCTTTCAGCATTGGAGACTGGTTGGATTGTGCTGGATAACACTACTTAAGACACGTAAACCCCCGCCCTAACTATTGGGTTTATCCTTGGGAGCAATTCACAAGAGAAAGATCCTGAGGTCAGGACAGCAGTCTGAATGCATTAAGCCAGAAAGGAGGGGGCACATTGAGACTTGCAGGGTAACATATCAGTCTGGGGATCCTAGAGTTAAAATATCAGGACATCATTATTTGGAGATGAAGAGAGAGCGAACTAGAAAGCTGGTGATGTAAATGGAGGCAGTAGTGGCAAGTGTGTTGGGAAAGGGCAGGGGAATGGAATGTGGAGAGAGTCA